TTTTAATGGGGTAAATCCGAGTAACAAACTTCGAAGAGGAAACAAACGACAAAGCAGCTTCATCAAGATCAGTTTGTCAGTTTAACAGCTCAACATTTGTCCCAAAATACGCAGGGTACATTCGTCTCTTATAGGCGTCAGAAGTATGGTTCTAACGAGAACCTCGAGGACAGAGTGGGTAGAGGCCTATAAATGAAGCAACAGGACACTCGGCACCAGGTTCTAGTGAAAAACTATTTATTCAATAAACCAAAGAGATGACACGTGTAACCACGTGAAGTCTTACTACCGTAGCGTACCTTGTAAAAGCATTGCAGCTCGGTACCCGCTACACAGCTACCAGAACTCCATTAAATGCATCAGCCTTTGATTTTCATACAAGAATGCCTAAGAACAGACCAAGGAAGAGCAGACCAAGGAAGAAAAGAAAAAGGGTGGGGGGAAAAAAAAATCACGTGTTGGTGAGAACGTAGGGGGAACAGCAATTTTCTAGGACTTGCCCACAAAGTCACCCTGTTCATACCGTGAAGCAGCACGGCAGGTCGCAGAAGCTAGTTTGTGAACCACTAGCTTGTGTCCCCAAATGCCGTTGACCTCCTACATTCATAGCAATCTGTCAGGCAAGCCACACAGCCATTTGAAGTTAAACACTGTTTACTTTTACTGTTGATAAATAAACCAGTTCTTGCTTACACTAACTGGAATAACTTCTGCTGCAATGCCAGTCGGCACTAGCTGCAAAGCAAGAACACAACCGTTAAAAGGGACGGCATGGCTCTGGCAAAACGGATCGACGTTACCCAGGAACACCCTTCCACGTTACGCTATCGCGCGTTCCTACCAGCATCGCTGTATAAATGACGAGAGAACCTGGTTCCCTTAGGAGAATTTTAAAAAGGAACAGCACCACTATGGGATTCCGCTTGCATCGCCCACTCTGCTTTGACAACAAATTGAAACGCTGAAGCCATGGGCAAGGTACTGTTTCAGTATGTTCTCAGCAAATCGTCTGCTTTCACAAGTGCGGTCAAGTTGCCAAAACAAACTCAGCTGACAGCTCCTTCAGAATTCAGATCTATGGCTTTGGGGGTTTGTTTTTTCTCCCCCAGAAGTAGTACGATTTCATCCCCAAGACAACATGTACATTCAACACAGAACTGAAAGAATGCAATCTTCTTCCCCACACGTGCCAAAGTTCAATTCCTGCTAATTTTACAATATTAAGAGCAGTTTCTTCTCACATTTTCCTAAACACTTCTCAGTATCTGAAGCACAAGTAATATAAGTGAATAAAACTCAACTTTCATTGTAAATAATACAGAGAACACAAAGTCTGAGTGGACAGAACCCTAGTATTGACCTCTCTTCACCACCACTTTATTATAAATGCAAGTTATGCACTGCAGTTTTTCAGTTGTTTGGGTTTTTTTTTTGCTCCCATACCAGTTACCAACAAGTTATGTTGTCTTTCACGTTCTTCCCTCAGTTTGCCGCAGAAAAGTGTTTGCTGGGGGCAAGCTGGGCCTAGTACCGACAACCTGATTCTCAGTTCTTAGTACGCTGAAACATACTGACCGGCAACATTACCCTTACTTTGAAAACAGAAAGTCTGTAAAGTGACATAAAACCAACTTCTTAGAAATTACAAGAGAAAAAGTATACGTCACCTACAAATTGAGGACTAGTAATTGATCACACACTGTTGTTTTTATTCAAAGTTGCTAGCTTTCAGTATCAGGTTGACTCAAAACGGTGACTTCTTTCACTGAACTCATCAGTGAACACTGTGATTGTCACTTGCTTTAATTCTTAAGAACATACCAAGAAAGAAAAGTCACGAAAAGTTCAACATTAAGACAACAGGAAACTTACTCAAATACTCCAAGCTTTCAAGACTCTCAATATCCAATAACTTAGTTTTTGCATACTGCTGTCCCCTATACACTCCCTTCCCCCATCACCAGTAGATCAAAACATCCTCATTAATATAAAGTACTTAATTCAACTGAATTTTAAACCTTGTTGCAAAACTACTGAAAGAGTGTAAATATCTCAAACAGAAAGAGAGAAGAATTACTCCCCTTTGAAGTGTTGGGTTTGGATTTTTTTTTATGTCATATAAATGTGGACTTGACAACTGTGAAGAAAAAACTTCCATTAACTAAACCTAAGCTCCAGGAAAGAAGGCAAATTCCTTATCAACTGGTCAACTCGTTCTGTTGGAAAGAAGAAAGTAAAGCAGATTTTGTGCACCTTCATTTTGTGCTTCCGTTGCAGCCCACTGGTAACCTATACAAATATTTCAAAGTTCAACTTAACACAGAAAAATCATATGTGAATCCTTAAATAATATTTTTGAATTATATAAAGAAGGTTAAAGACATCATGATTCTGCCAAAACTAAGCATATACATTTCAAGTTTAGAATAAACCGTGTATGTAGGTAGCAAGTTAAAACAGTACAGACTGAAGACACCTTCCCTCAAATACAATCCCAAGCTCACACCTGGAGCTTGGTTTGGTTTGGGGGTGGTGTTGTTGTTTCCCCCCCAGCCCCCCGAAGATGCAGCTACCAGTAATACAGTTCTGGTACAGCAGGAACTCTCCATTCAGTCTTTCTCTCTTGATGCTAAAAGCTCTTTACAGGTGAAAAGGACAGAGCTCTTGTCCTATCACATTTTGACAAACTGTCTTAAGTGGTTGGTTTCATTAACAGGAAAGGAGGAGGTATTTTTATAAAGTGATACAAAACATAGCCAAAAAGCTATTTTAAAGCATTTGTGTGCAAAAAGATCAGCATTTTTAATTTGCAGCACTGTTTCTCCCAACAGAGAACAGATGCCTATGGTCAGAGATGCAAGTTCTGTGAATACACTTGCCAAGTTGACTTTGTTTTAAATCCACCTCAAAATGGAATGTTTCAAATCATGAAAGGGTCTAAAAGCTGCACATAAACATTATTTAATGTTAGACACACACTAAGTTTTATTAAGCATTACACTAGAACTACTTTGGTATAAAAATACTTTATTTTAAAGCTATGAAAGTTATAAAAATACGTAGTTAAACTTTCTACTCACAGAATGCTTGCTATTTTAACATTAGTGATTTGTTTCTCCTAACGAATCTGAATGTTATTCGAAAGGTTTACAAGACATTATTACTATAATTTAAAAAAACCCAGCATTACAGGGAGCTGTACTAATTGTGATGTTTTATCAGTATTCATTTAACCTCTAGATTTTTAATGAAGGCAGCAAAAACAACTATTTTCTGATGATACAGAATTTCTTATTTCTTGAAGCGTTTCTGTGGTTGACCACTTCTTCATTAGTTACCTGCAGCATGGCACCTTCCTGCCAAAGAAAAAAAAAGTGTATCTGAAGATGTTTATCACATATGTCTAAACCAAATTACCAATAGGGGAACTTCAGCCATTTTAAAAAAAAAAAAAAAAAGTATAAGCAGTTCACTGGTGTGTCTAACACAAAAAGGAACAGGACTTTTGTTAGCCGAGTCCATGTTCTTCAGTGGGTAGCCTTTTAAAGGCAACGGAACTTTGAAATTAAGGTGTTTTTTTGGTTGCTTTTTTTTGTGGGTTTTGTTGATTTTTATTTAAAAACCAAATCTAGTAGAGTATGCCATCCTTACTCTGAGTAACTCATTACTTGATAAATTTCCATTAATTTGAGGTGCAAACATTCAATGCAGTGAGAGTAAGGCTGACTGAATTTGGCACTAAGGTTTATTAGCTGCAAGAACTATAAAAAATGGTGGAAACCTTGACATTCTAGCCAAATTCCAATTTACGTAATTACATTATACACTTATGAAATACCACCTGCAGTTTCATTTGAAGTTTTCACTTCCCCTCCTAAAGAACTGCTTATGCAGTTGTTATAAGAATGGACGACACAATCCTTCACAGAGGCAGATGTATTCTGTGGTGCAATTTTTTTCCTTACACGTAACCAGTCTACAGTTACTTGGGAACCTTCAGGATGAAACGTGTTATATAAAATAGATTACAGTAGACAAGACACATAACATAGTTCATTCTCAACAGCACAGAACTACCTTCATTGCATTACCTTGCAACCACCGTAATGCATAGACTCCCAAGAAAAAATAAAATGTTGCAGGATGCAAAAATAAAGTTGTATGATTTAATTAACTTGTGACCTACCATTTTAACTACCAACACCAGGGATGGAACCCTTGCAAAGCTTTACTAATGGACACTTGCAGGTCTCATTTGTTCAACTGTAGCAGTGTACAGTGGCAGCAGTCTATGCTTGTCCAGGGTTCATATCATAGCTAGATTCCAGTAGGAAAAAAATATGTTAAGTAGCTGAAATTAACAAAAATCTGTTTGTAAAAAATTTAATAATACAAGAAAACAGGATTCACAATTTTTTTTTTCAATTGGTAATTGTTAACTCAATTCATTGCTATGTTAAACTACATAACGATAATCACTATACTGATAGAATACTGTCAAACAATTATTAGTTTCTTGTTTTTGGAACATTAAGAAAGGAAAAGTAAATAAGATCTTACCTAAAGAAGTTTAACTGAAGCTTAGAACTAGTTTGCTCTACACCCTCAGCCTTCGTTGGCATCCTTATAAACTACTGTAGTTAAAGCTTTGCAGAAATACAGCGCAGCTTTTTAAGACTGGCTGAACTTAGTGACGTTTTCAAGAGTTCTCTTGTACTAGACCTGTGTCCCTGGAAGAGTACCTCGCTGGGGATATTTCCTTTCCTTGCCATTGAAGAAGCAGCATCTAAAAGATCTAAAAAGGTGTTTCTCCTTGCAGAGATATCCCTTAAGTTATCTAGGTATTTTAAACCTGATCATTTACAGACAACATACTTTTTTCTGACCAGCATTTAATTTTACATGTACAACAATAGCTTTATATTATTTGTGGGAACCTTATACTACCCACTCCTTGCCTTATTTTACAATATTAAAAAAAAATCTAAAATTACACAATATTTCCTTTAGAATTATTTTATTAAATCATAAATGTACAACAGCTTCTTAACTCTACACACGCACTTAAATTTTTAAAAGGAAAACGTTATGTCTTATTACACCATGATCCTGGCTAATAGCTTTTCAAAACTTTGAGGAAAATCTTAAAAAAGGTTTCACATGTCACCTGAAACTTACAAATTTAACATTATCAAAGGAATGCTTCTACACTTACAAAGACCACTAGAAAGAAACAACAATTAAAAAGCTAAGAAACTGTCTCAAAGGCATTTTTACAATCCTTCCTCCACAGTAAGGTAATGTTATTAAATAATCCAAATCCATTCACAAAATGGCTCTCTGCATCTGCTCTGGTGTCTTCTGCCATATCACTGCATATTTATGCATGACTGAGATAAGTGTTTCCTTAACATTGTTATTTCGATAACCTGAAGCTGTTCTGTTACCTCTGGGCTCTCATCCTCTCCTATTTATACAGTGAAGCCTGTTTCAACAGAAGTAAAGAGTAAAAAAATAGGTTATGAAATTGTTCATCTAACCATTTTTTAAAGGAAAGATAATATGATCCTAAAAAGCTTTTAACTCCTGCAGCTACTCTCAAGAATCACTGCAATTTTAATACTTATAAACATACTTACCCATGGCATGCTTGCAGAAACTCAATAACGGCTCCTCCCTCCATATCCACCACTTCCTCCACTGCCCCCAGGACCATAGTTTCCTGCAATTGCAGAAAAAGAAGAAATAGAACAGTTACATCAGTACACTTTTTAAATCTAGGAATGCTTTCGATTCTGTATGAAGATTAACTCCACTTTACTTCCAGAGATGGCATATACAACAAAGATTTTAACATTTCGCTGTCTTCCTCTAAATAACCTCCAAGAACTGCCACAAGAATTACATGCTGACATCTTAGAAGATTCAACAGTGTCATATGTAATTTGAGGCACTGTACTGTCTTGAGCCTGTGAGGGCTGACTTTATTCGCATGCTAAACCTTTACGAGAAAGGGCTTCATGTTTCAGTTTCCATTTCACAAGCTTTACACGACATATTAAATAACATTTAGACAACAAAAAGCATAGTGTGTCAGAAAAAAGTGACACTACAACAAGAGGGGAAAAAAAAAAAGAAATCCCAGCAAGTTTAGCTGACCTTAGCTAGACTCTCTACAAATAGCGTGAGCTGGCAGCAAAGAACATGAAACTTGGCTAAAATCTTAACAGACCGGAAACTGCAAAACATTTCATAATATTCTGGAAAAAGTTAGTACCTTGTCACTTATCTTTTAAAAAATAGTACTAATAATTTTCCCCAAGATAAGCTTTGCAGTCTCAAGATGAGAAACTTTAGCCAACCTGCAGAAAGAATGTGGGTGTTAACAGTCCCTCTACTGCAGAAGTTATGCAACTTCTACCTATCCATCTTAGAACCACAGAATGGTTTGGGCTGGATGGGACCTATAAAGATCATCTGGTTCCAACCCACCCACCATGGGCAGGGACATCTTTCACTAGATCAGGGTGCTCAAAGCCCCATCCAACCTGGCCCTGAACACTTCTTCCAGGGGTGGGGCATCCACAACTTCTCTGGGCAACCTGTTCCAGTGCCTCACCACCCTCATAGTAAAGAATTTCTTCCTTATATCTAATCCTAATCTACACTCTTTTAGTTCAAAACAGTTACCCCTTGTCCTATCTTCCCCTCCACCTCCCCAAAAGACTAAAGCCCACCCGCTCTGTTTGGCTCCAAAGCAAGTCAGGACATATATAATACCTCCACCATATGGTCCCCCCATGTTCCTGCTGCCACCAAAATTTCCACTCTTCATTGGACCATAATTTGAAGGTTGTTGGTTGTAGTTTCCAAAATCATTATAGTTTCCACTTCCATAATTGCCTGCATTATTGATACAAAAGTGGAGAAATACCTAGATGAGCTAAAAGGCATACAGCACTCACAAAGTTATCTCATTATTAGAATCTTAAATAAAGTACAAAATCACACAGGTATGCCAGCAGCGTATGCAACAAACTCCTTTTTCATACTATTTCATACTACTTGTAAAACAAGAGGTTCCTTAGACAACATTTACACACACACCCCCACCCATCTCAAATAACTTGCACTAATTTACAACTGAAATGCTTGGTCATTTCAAGCCAGTAGGTTACCTCCTCCATAGTTGTCATAACCACCTCCATAGCCCCCACCCTGGTTGCCATATCCAGGTCCTCCTCCACCATATCCTCCTCTTCCTCCTCCGTAACCAGGACTGCCACCAAAGTTGCCACCTATGACAATACAATCCTTTAAAATAAACTTTTCAGTGTAGAAGGCAACCAAATTCTACAGAATCAGAGGATATTTTTCTGTTTAGAAGTCTACAGGGGAAGAAAAGGGTAGGAGTTTTGTAAAGAAATTTCTACGAACACTGTTTTTAAGGGCACATACCAACTCCCACCCTAACTGAATTGTGACCAAAACCCACCAGTCAGACTGCCTAAAAGCCTCAATTAAAATCTTGATTTTTCAGGAAATGTAAGAAATATTGCTGTTCTAAAGAAAAGTGCATGGTTGTCCAAAAAATAACCATACAATTTACCATATACAGGTTTAACATGAGCCAACAGCCATGCATGCTTCTTAAAGCTCACAAAACAGCTTTGGCAACTAATATAAATTTTATACAAATACTAAGTGAATGTAAAAATGTTTCTGAATGAGAGAAAAACCAACCACCACCACCAAAGTAAACTAACCTCCAGGTCCTCCACCATATCCGTTATACCCGTCACCAAATCCACGGCCACTTCCATATCCATCTGTTGGAGAAAAAAACCCACAGTATTTCAACTCACCTGTAGCAAACTTAACTGAATTCTGAAACCCCTATGACCTTAAGGACCAAATCTCAAGAGATTACTGATTAAGCACATATACACTTGAATTCAGAAAAATATATGTAAAATAACACATCCAATCATTACTCTACATCTTCAATTTTCTTGCATTTGTAAGGTACCCAGTTTTAATTTTGGACATAGCCCTTCCACTGTAAAGGTCACGCAAGTGCTGCATAGAATTACAGAGAAATCTCTGAATTCCTTACCAAAATTAAGTTTAGGTTAATTTTGGCTTTTAATAAAATCCTTAAAAAAAAAAAAAAAAAAGAAAATCACTTTACTGAATATCCACATAATCAATTTGTGTACTACAGAAGAGGTCTGCAAGTTATTTGTCCCCCAAATTCTCTAACTGCTACAGTGGCATTTAAATTAAAGAACAGTAGCTCACAAAGTTACTCAGAACCAGAAAGACAGTATAAATAAGGAAAAAAAAAATGCTACAAACATGCCTGTCTTACCGGCTCCCCCTCTGAAATTGCTGCCAGGTCCTGGACCAAAGTTGCCACCACCTCCACGTGCATCACCAAACCCAAAGTTCCCTATAACAGTTCAACATTTGTAAGTGGTGAGATCATGGAAAGTGAACACAGAAATCAACCACAAACCATTAACCGTTACTTGTACATACCTCCTCTCCCACTTCTAGAGTTTTGAACTTCCTGCATTTCCTGTCTAGAGAGAGCTTTCCTTACTTCTGCATTATGGCCATTGATGGTGTGATATTTCTGCACTGTAACGACATCAAATAAAGTACCTCAGCATTTATATACTGATCTGACAACAAATAAGAGTATCAGGCTTCCAAAAATGAAGTAATTTCCAAATTAATCCATGCATATTCCATATCATTTAAAAAACCCAAGATACCATACAATTTTTAAGAAACCAGTACTTATTTAAGATTAGCTTTACGCCATTACCATGACTGCAAAGATTAATACTATCAAATGAAAGAGTGAAATGAAGCTTACTTACATACAATTTTATCCACAGGATCATGGTCATCAAATGTAACAAATCCAAACCCTCTCTTTTTACCAGACTGTCTGTCAGTAATGATTTCAATAGTGTCGATTTTTCCATATTCCTCAAAGTAGTCACGAAGGTGGTGCTCTTCAGTGTCCTCTTTAATACCACCAACAAATAGTTTTTTCACAGTAACATGAGCACCAGGTTTTCCAGATTCCTGTTAAAAGAATCCTTTAAATTAACACAAAGAAAAACAACTTCACAAATCACTATTTTGCCAGGATTTCAGGAATGGAATACCGATGAACTGAGATTTTATCAAGCACTGAGGTAGCCCTGTTCAGATGCCTGTCCCTGCAACCTTGCCTGGGAGGGAAGTAACATGGGGTAATTTGGATGCTTTTCCTCCCCCCTTTATGTGAAAGCCTTAGAAGCACTGAAAAAGATACACATAAAACTGCTATGAAATGCATAAAATAAAAAGCCTTTAAATGTATTTAGAGAAAAAGTAAGATCAACTGTTTGAAAGAACTGCAAGTAATTAACACCTTAAACTAGAGCATGATTTTTTAGAATTGAAACAAAGATGTGTCAGCTTCCTCTTCACATTTTCCCAACAGCAGTGATACCCATATGCCACTCCTATCAACAGCAAAGGTCCTTCAACCTCAGCAAACCCACAGCTATGCATTTTAACCCCTACTCAAAATACGAAGACAACTCCTCACATTCACAGGTTATTTTTACACTTTGAGCATGATATCCGAGCTGCTGCACTAGGTAGTGATGACTTACTCCTAAAGCTTAGCAATAGCTTTGTGTGTATGAACAGTATGCACGGATGCTGCTTTAATTACCTTTTCCAAATGCTAACCAACCCCGCATTCTGCAGGGAATGGAAAGAAAACTGGGACAGCTAACAGGGGTACTAGTGGTTACAATTTCCATTTCCCTTGACCGCTGGGACAGCTCATTCAATTCCAGTTCAGCAGTCCAAATGCATTAAACACCTGTGTCCAACCTTAAACTGGTAAACCCTCCCAGAGCTCCCACGTGGTAAACAAAAGTCACCTAGAATCTGCACTTGCTCTTTGTCTTCGTTTCAGCTGGGACAGAGTTAATTTTCTTCCTAGTAGCTGCTATAGTGCTGTGTTTTGGATTTAGCATGAGAATAATGTTGGTAACACACTGACGTTGTAGTTATTGCTAAGTAGTGCTTACACTGGTCAAGGACTTTTCAGCTTCCCATGCCCTGCCAGCGAGAAGCTGGGATGGGGCACAGCCAGGACAGCTGGCCCAGACTGGCCAAAGGGCTATTCCATACCATATGACGTCATGCTCAGTATATAAACTGGGGGGAGTTGGCCGGGGGGGGGCAGCGACCACTGCTTGGGAACTGGCTGGGCATCAGTCAGCAGGTGATGAGCAACTGCATTGTGCATCACTTGTTTTGTATATTCTTTTATCGTTATTATTATTATTATTTCCCCTTCCTTTTCTGTCCTATGAAATTGTCTTTTATCTCAACTCATGATTTTACTTTTCTTCCCCCTCATCCCACTGGGTGGGGGAGGGGAGCAAGCAAACGGCTGCGTGGTGGTTTAACTGTCTGCCAGGTTAAATCACAACTCTCCTCAAGTACCTCTGTGCCACAGTAACCCGGCTGGAAAGTTCACAGGTGCACTGCATTCCTGTGCACACACCTAATTTGTACCCTGAAGTTTAAAACCAAATATGCCTAGGGCTAAAACCAGAGTAGTCCTAAGATGATTTTGTACACCAACACTGGAAAAAAGAAGTGTTTCCCTACTACATTCTCTATTTTTAGTCACTTCAGTTACATACCTTTTAGAAATTCCCAAAAAGAGCTTGGAATAGAGTCAGGAGAGATTGACAGGAGTTTATTAATTTGAGGTTTAGCAACAGTAACCATTCCAGAGAAGAGTTAGTTTGGAATTTGCATAATTACAGGCATTCAACATGTTTTTGCTAACCATACCTTCAGACCCCAGTTGAGTCCCTTGCAGACATGATTCTACAACCAGAGTAACTTTATAATTCACTGTAATAATAGACATTTATGTAGGAGTGTCATTTAACAGACCGAAAGTGTGGGCAAATAGTGCCCCAAATACGGCCTTTTAACTAGAGAATTTAAATCCAGGCGATTTCAAACAAGCAGCATAACTGTCTGACCAAAACAGATTCCTTTTTCAAAGAATGAAAAGTATCTGCTTTCAAAGCCATACTTACCTCTCTAGCCACAGCTCTCTTAGGCTCAACCACCCTTCCATCAATCGTGTGAGGTCTTGCAGCCATGGCTGCATCAACTTCAGCCATGGAGGAAAATGTTACAAAACCAAACCCCCTCGATCTTTTGCTTGCAGGATCCCTCATGACCTAAAAATAATTAACACGTTTAAACCATTTCTACCCGTCTCATGTTAAGCTTAACACTAACAACATTTGGACAAAACATGTAAACTGAGTTTACATTTTCCTTGATTTGATTTCAAAACACCATTATAATAAAGTAGCAGGCTATGCTGATTAAGTACATGAACAGCACTGCTTTGCATCACAGAAATTCAAACCCCTGTTGTCCTCTAGGACTCTACCGATAACTCAGAAAAGTTGCTGTATCAAGTGACATACATATATTCATATTTATGTTTGTTTTCTTAAAAAATCAAACACGTAATTTCTTTTAAGCTTTCTGAAGACCAGATTTGTGTAATGAAATACGTATTTACTGCTCCCAAAAATTCCGTGGAGGAACTTCTGCAAGAGTCACCGTCCCTGGAGGTATTTAAAAGACATGGCGCTTAGGGACATCATTTAGCAGTGGACTTGGCAGTGTCAGGTTTACAGTTGGACTCGATGACCTTAAGGGTCTTTTCCAACCTAAATGATTCTATGAAAACATCAGCCAATGACACCCAAGCTTAAAATTAACTGTTGAAATCAGTAGTTAGAGATAATCTGGGAGATTTTACAGGAAACAGATTGCGAATGCTCCCTAACTTCATCAACAGAGTTTGCAAGTGAAAGTGTGCATAGCTTCAGTGGACTTAATTATGCATAAACCAACCAACTGTACACTTAAGAAAATTTAATATTCCATCTTTTCATTAAGCCACCCATTGAACAAACTCCCCACTTTTACGATTTCTAAACATTCTGTGCCATCGTTGCGCATTAGCATGCCAAACTTACCACACAGTCCGTAAGCTTTCCCCATTGCTCGTAGTAGCTTCTCAAGCTTTCCTCTGTTGTTTCAAAGCTTAAGCCACCAATAAACAGTTTGCGGAACTGCTCCTTTTCCCTCTATCACAGAAAAGAAGATTACATTAATATAATTAGCAATACCACCTCTGCATCAGCCTAATTAGACACTAAGTAAGAGTTTCTTAAGTGTCAAAAACTTTCAGTAAGATATATTTTTCAAAATTAGGCTTGGGTCTTCTACATGTTCTACCACTATTCAAGAAATTAAGTAATTTATGCAATTCCATGGGTCCACTTTTACGATACAGATTTTAATAACGTGCTTCTTCCCACCTCTCCCTCCAAATATTAAGAACAAGGGACCATACTCAAAAACTTCCAGAATAATCCCCTCAAAGACCTTTAGGAGATACTTTTTAAAGCAAAGGAAAATAAAAACAAAACCAAAAGTTCTCATTACAGATAATATGAATTCATTCATACAGTCTGATTCTATTCCAGATGGCATTTATTTTTAAAAACCATTCTGGCTCAAATTGTTATACATGAATATTATCATGCTATTTACCCAAGGCATTTAAAAAAAACCAAAACAAAACAAAAAGAAGAAGAAGATATGGCTAAAGATGTTCTAAAATGGGTCGCCAATTCATATTTTCTCATTAATTATTAAAACAAATGAAAGCCAGAGCATCTGTAAAATTAATCTGGGATCCTGCACCACTGGAATTAGTAGTAAACCTATCCACCCTCAACAGCAGCAGTATCAAAACTAAGTGGATTCCCTTTGAAACAGAAATGTGAATACATATTCTTACATGTATCCACTAATATACATTATGCTTTCAGTAAGACTTTGTTCTATTACCTTTCAGAGAAATTATCACTGCACTTGTTCAGCGGAAATTTCCGCTGTGATGACAAGTACATAGTTAAAAAAAACAGGACCAATAATAAGATATTGCATTTACTATTTTGTATGTGGTATTATACCAAAGCAGGAAGGACAACCTTCCAACCTCTACCAGTTAAAAAACTTAGTATACTAACTTTTTATACTAAGCAAGCATCATAATTGTCATTTTCTGCACACAATAGCACCACTGGATCACGCATTTTGCAATTTCATATGTCAAACAGCAACAATTAAAAAAAAAGCACTAAGAAGTAGTCCCCTTCCACAAAATTTAAGATTTCAGAATGTTGTTTGAAAGAGAACTGTCCTGCTAGGGACAAGAGAACTCAAATGCAATGATTACTTCAGCTTTAACTGATAACTGTTAACTAATTTTAAAAATCAAGAAAATCTGCTTGGGTGTTTGGTTTTGTGTTTTCTTTAGGGTGGGGATTGTTTTTTAAACAACCCAAACACTGTATAGTTAGCTCTAACTAACAAACACAACACAACTAACTATGCACTGGACATTAAGATAAATGTAAAAAGGAAATTAGACAACCAACGACAACCAATGAGATTTGGAAAATAGCAAAATAGTTCAGTGCACAAATGCTTTTAAGAAGTATTAAGCCCATCTGCAGGTAGACCAACAGGCGTTCTGAGGTTGTCCAAGGCAAGGCCTGGATCTAGATGCATCCATCAGGAAGACAATTACTGTAGGTAGTACTGAATCAGTTTTTCTTCAAAAATGCATCACCCTATTACCAGCATGAGATATTGCAGTCTGACAAGGAAGTCAACCCTCCAAAAAATAAATACCGTATTTGAGATCAGTTTAAATGTCTCTTAACAACACTTGGAATCTGCTGTTGGATCTAGTATTTTTTCTTCTAAGGAACACACAGGAAGCTAGCACTGTCTCCTCCTTGTACGCAGACCAAATTAGACGCAAGAGTTTAAAAGCAGCAAACCCATGTTATGCCAAATTTCCTTTCTCCTCATCTCTCAAAAGGAATAAAGGAAAGGATGCTGCATACCAGACTTGGACTAAAAAGTCATATGCTGCAAGTCATACTATCATTTATAATTTGAATAGGCTAGCAGAGAAATCATTTTAAGCAACGATACTGCCAAAAAAGTGCTCCCTTCAAATTCATTTCTGCTGCCTGAAAATTAGGGACTACTTGCTACAGTTTCATAGGCCCACAAAAGACACTTTTTCCTATATAATCAATTGTCATGCATCTAATAATGCACTTTTATACTCTTATAAAAATATAAGAAATAAGCAAATTTACTAGACAGGTAGGATGTTTCAGTGTTAGGCTTACCTTTGAAAACAGTTATAAACATGTAAATGAAACTCAAGGAAAGAATGGAAGCTATTAGCTGTAACAACTGCATTTGTTTTTTAAAGGACAAACATATACCACACATTACTAATAAACATTAAACAGAATAATAACACACTTTACAGATGTATGAATTCTTAGAAACTGTAATCTACCATGTATTATGTGTCATGCCGTACATGCCCTACCCAGAACAACATCTAGGCACCACACACGACACAGCAGTAACAAAATTCACTACCAGTTCTTCAATTAAAACCACTGTGTGAAAATATCATAAAGATGTTCCACTAATACATGCACAGCCTCTGGATGCAGAGACTGTATGTCTTAAACGTGTCAGTTTTAAGACGCTCTGGATAGTCTAGCATTAACCTCCCACCAGGGTCCAGAGATCTCTGACCATCTGAAGTTTATGCTGAAGTTGTAAAATGGATGATAAAAATTATTATCACTCCAGTCCCTCTCAGAATCTTGACGAAAATCCTCATTTGGTAAAAACGCGCCCCCCCCCCCAACACGACCCACTCCTGCCAAGGCCCACAATACGAAAGCTGTAAGAAAAACCTCTTTCAAGATTTCCATAGTACACTCTGTGGCAGGAACGGAGTGCAAGAGGAAATCTTTACGAACTCTGTAGAATCTTCATTAGTGCTTATTTTAAGCCTTTCTTCACAGGCTTAAAGCAACACTTCAAAGAACTGGAAAATGCATAGCCTTTGCTGGAAAATTCATCATCAGAGCAAGAAAATTTGTTTCATATAGCAATAAAGTGTGCACAAATACTCCAAGCTGACCGCAGATTTCTGCGGAGTTAAGAACCGGAGTAACGAAAACAGTTAACAGAGACAAACGAGTGGGATCTTTGAACTACTATGGCTAGGCCTGCCAAAAGCAAAGCTGGGTTTACTGGTCTCAAACTAGAAGGACGCTGCTCTCTCTCCCCCCCGCCCCCTCAAGCGCCCCGTTAGCCCTTATACGTTCTACAGGGCTTTGCAATCCAACCGCCCGGTTCTCCCCCCTTCCCCCGCCCCCGCAGCTTGATGTTATCAGGAGCGAAGCGGTTACCGTGCCGGCTCCGCCATGTGGCGGATATCAGGAAAACAGGGGCCCCCGCAGCTAGAAAGGGAAAATGGCGCCCAGAAGCAGCCGTCGCCTCCAGGGACAGCGATGCGGCGGGAAGGGAAAGAACTTCTGGAAGCACCGACCCCAGATTAAAAAAAAAAAAAAAAAAAAAAAAAAAAAAAGAAAAAAACACGGGGGCCCGCGGCGCAAAA